ATGGAAACTGGTTTCACTTCCAGCATATTAGTTTTTGTGAGAAGATCTATGATATACTTTCTTTGCATCAGATGAAGACCCGCTGAAAATCATGTTGCTTCTATGCCCAGAAAGTAAGAAATGCTCCCAAGGTCTTTAATGGAGAAGCGATTAGCTAAGCCAGAGATCTTATTGACCAAGGTAACATTGCTTCCTGTCATAACAATGTCGTTGACATAGACTAAAATGTATACAAGATAACCTCCTTGGCTGTATACGAAGAATGATGTATCGGCAACGGAGTTCTGAAAACTAGCATTCAGCAGCATTCTCTTGAGTTCTTCATACCAAGCGCATGGCGCTTGCTTGAGCCCATATAGCGCTTTCCTTATTTTACAAACATGGTGCAGTCAATCCTTGTCAATATATCCAGGGGGCTGAGAGACATTAACCTCATCTTGACATGTTTCTTGTACGAATGCATTGTTGCATCGATTTGTCGGATACACTAATCCGATCAAACGACTTGCTCCAGAACCAAATGAACTGTTGTTGATTTGATAACCGGACTAAACGTCTCTGCAGAATCGAGCCCAAATATCTGATTGAATCCCCGAGCTACAAGTCATGCTCTGTACCTGTCAATTTGACCATTGGGTAGATATTTCAAAGTAAAAATCTATTTAGTGTCAATAACATTTGATGAGATGTTGGGGAACGAAATCAAATGTATGGTTTTGGGTAACGGCATTATATTCGTCAGACATTGCATTCCACCACTTTTGATGTCGCAAAGCTTGTTTCACCATGGTTGGTATGAATGGTTTAATTTTGGTGGTAAAAGCTTTGGGTTTATGATAATTAGGGTTGAATTTGACGATGTTGTTTGTGGTATGGGTTCGTATGGTGAGTGGTTGAACATGATGATTTCGTCGGCGAGGTGGGGGGCGGAGGTGGCTGTGGGATTGGTGATTATGGCGATGGAGAATTTGTGTTTGGGGTCGAGGAGGAAGAAGCCAAATTATTGGGTTATGTAGGTTATGGGCTAGGTTGGGTTTGAGTCAAAGATGGTAATGGGCCGGAATGTGGGCTTAGCGATGAATGACTTGTTGAAAAATTTTATGAGCACATCTGGTATCCACGAGAATTACCATTACTCGAGATAGACGAGCTCATCTAGGACGACGCATCAGAGGAGTTCATTGGAGATGGCGACAATGTCATTCATTGGTGAGGTTCTGAGCACGGGGGCAGCAACAAACGAGCAGAAACAAGTGGCCGGTGAGGAGGAGGAGTGATAATTGGGTCAGAGGAAATTGAATCAGTGATTTGTAGCGGCGGAGGTGATGGGTTGTTGGATGTTTTAAATGGATATCAGTTTTCAACAAATTGCACATGTATGGATGTGAACAGCCTTCCTGATGTACGATCCAAACAAAGATACGCACTCAGAGTCAAAGAGTAGCCAACAAATACACATGGTGAAGAATAATTTCTCCAACTTGTTTTTCGCATAAAGGCGTAGCCACAGGAAACAGAGGCACCCGAATACTCGAATTTTAAGGTATTTTGGTGGTTGATTGAAGAGTTTTGCATTAGGGGACGTATTATGGAGTACACAAGTAGGCATCCGATTGATGAAGTACACGATAGTTGAAAACGCATAGGGCCATTAGGATTTGGGAACAACAGCTTAACTAAGAAGTGTTAGGCCAGACTCAACTATGTGTTGATGCTTCCTTTCAGAACAATTGTGCTCCGGTGTGTGTGGCGGAGATGTTAAATAAGATATCCCATGTGCAAGGAGCAAGTGGCGTAGAGCAACAAATTCACCTCCATTGTCTCAATACAAGGTAACAATCTTGCTTTGGAATCTTTTTTCGAATAAAGATTTGAAGTCAATAAATCTATCAAGGAATTGAGACTTTGTTTTTTTAGAGGATAGAACCAGGTGTAGCATGTGTAATGGTCGACAAAGATGAGGTAGTATTTGTATTGGTCAATGGAAACAATAGGGGAAGTCCAAACATCAATGGATAGATATTGTAGGGATTTTTGTGAGACAATTGTGTTTGCGTGAAAAAGGTAATTTATGAGTTTTAATGAGAAGGCAATCAGAACAATGAGCATGTTTTTGTATTGAATCTGAAACAGGTAAAGAGAATTGCGAAACAAGAGATTTTAAAATAAAAGAGGATAAGTGACCCGACCGAGAGTGCCATGAGGATAGGATAGTTTTTGGTGTGGGGGATGCAAGAAATGATTTGATAGTAGTAGAAGGGAGTGGCCACTCGTATAGCTTGTTCTTAGTGTTGTTGTGGAGTAATTGTGCCCTGTGCTGAGGTCCTTCACCTAGAAATGTAAACGGTAGACAGAAAGAAGGTTTTTATGTAAGTTGGGAACATAGAACACATTATGTAAGGCAAGAGAGTGAGAAGGAGTGGGAAGTCAGGCAGAACCAGTGTGCGAGATCGCAAGGCCAGAACCATCAGCAATGGTGACTTCTTCACCACTAGTCTACGGGTGATGAAGAGACTGGTTGTCGAGATCCATTGTTAGGTGGTGTATAGCACCAGTGTCAAGGGATTCAGTTGTTGGCATTGAGCTGTGGAGCAACAGCATGATGCGCATGCGGTTGCCATGGAGCTGAATTGTAGGATGGACCATATGAAGATCTAGAGAGTTGAAGTTTGGAGCAGCGTTGAGCGTTGTGACCATGGATTCCACAAAGTTGACAGCATCCCTAGTGTCTACGGGATTGGCGGCTGTCTGATCTCAGCGAAAAGCTCTGCTGTTGTTACCATGTCTGAGTAGACCTGTGGCTAGAGCGATTTTGGTTGAAGAGGCGCTCATGTATTTCGAGAAGAGTTGGAGGACTGTCACGACCTTCAATTTGATCAATGACAAGTTTGTATTCTTCTGGGAGACCTTCAAGAATAAATTTAATCTGATCTTCGAGATCAAAAGGTTTACTCAGAAGAGCAATCTGATCAAATCTGGTTGTTAAACCTTGGATATAATCATCGATTGTTTTCGTGTTTTTTTTCCAATACTTCAGTTGATGCTTCAATTGTTTGAAGTGGGCACGACTCGATTTAGTATATGTAGAGGATAAGATGGTCCAAATATCAGCCGCAGTTTCAGCAGTAGATAAAAGTGGCTGAAGCGAGATGGAAATTGCAGCAAGAGTGCATAGTATATGAGTTGATCTTGCTGTTTCCACAGCAAGTAGGTTGGATTTGGCAGGATTGCACCATATATCGCAAGCGTGGGTGGTGGAATAATAATGGATCTATCTAAGTAACCCGCCAAATCATATCCATCAAGGAAAGTATGAATTTGATGGTTCCACCTGAGAAAGTTGGTAGAGTTGAATTTGGTCACATTTGTCATATTGATATTGAGCAAAGTATAAGATTCGGAGACATTTATGGTCTCACTGGTTGTGGCGGGAGAAGTTGACATGGTGAATGAGGGAGAGATCGGAGAAGACGTCCTCAAAATTTAGGTTTTAAATATCTTACGTTCTGATACCATATAATATAGAAAACTGAATGATTCTATTATAATGAGATTTAATGTAAAATGATATTTACACAATTTACTTACTATATATACTCTATAATTTCTTCTTTGTATTCATCTGTAAATATTGTTATTTTAGTTTTCAATCTCTCTGATATCTTAATTATTTTTGTAATTCTGTTCAAATTTTAAAATAGTTTAAAACTTTACATAAAAAAAGTTCATTCTTCCTTTTTTGTATAAATTTTTAATAGAAAAAAAAACAGTTTTTGTCGTTGTAATAGTTTTGTAACAACATATAATAATTCCAATTCGTAAGAATGGTCTTTGTCGATATATCCCACGCGGCCATGCCACGAGATAGCTACCTGGTTCTTTCCTATTGAACAACGAGGTGGTTAGGGATTTATAGAAAATTATTAGCTGAGAAAACGTGAAAAGCGATTCAGGGAGGAAAACTCTTAACAAAGACTAACATGTCATAAAAATATGTTTTCCTATTGTTGTTGTTAATTTTTCAATTCGTGACATCTCGTTTATCATGCCTATTATAATTTAGCTTATAAGATATATTGGATGTTTATTCAAAAAAAAAAAAAGATATATTGAATGTACACTAAAAATATTTTTTAGTTGAACTGTGTATGCTAAAGAAAACAAAAAAGAAATTGTTGAAGTGTTGTAACGAGACTATATTTACAAAAAGTGTTCATTCAAATTGATTATGTTAAGTAATTTTTATTTTGTGTAAGGTATTAATTAATAAATACACCATTCATTTTTTAAAAAAAATGAAAATTAATATCCAAATTAGTTAATTTCTTTTTGTCAACATATCCAAATTAGTTATAATTATGTATAAAAACATGTTTTGATTTAATTGTATACTAGATTTATTTTCTAGCAGATGTTACAATATTATTTTCATCAAATCAATTCTCAATTCGTATTTTTTCTCTATAATCTAAAATATTAAAATATGTCGTTAAAAATAAAAGGTGTACTAAATTAATTTATTTATTGCTTCATTTTATTTTAAATAAAGCCAATTTTCTATTTGTTAAATCTTATTTATCACATGCATCTAAAGAAAAAGAAAAAAAACTTTGACATCCTCTGTGCACACTGCACATTATCGAACAATACCTAGCAAAATATAATTCAAAAAAAAAAATTATTTTAAAAAAATATAATACTTAAGTAACAAATTACAAATGTGCCCAACAGTTCCATTAATTAGAATAATAGACTTCATCGAACCTAATCAACAAAACAATATAGATTAGTAATAACGACTGAGAGTCATCTACCAAACAATAATTGTAGATCTGCTCTTTTTGTCATGGGTATTATTCAATTAATAAAGATAAATATAAGTCAATGAAAGCCTACTGATAAAGAGTCAAAGACTATTACCACGTCTTATCATCACGTGTATGCCCTAGCTTCTTCTCTCTATATAACACCTTCCATATGCATTAAAATTTCCCAGGCTACGAGCATTCATCATACAAGCCCTAGTTACATTCTAAGTGTACTCATTAAACTAATTTGCTTAATTAGACTACTAAATATTATATGGCAATTAAGCTTGCACTTCTAGTCACAGTCTTTGTAGCCTTATGGGCTGTTTCAAAAGGAAGATCTCTTACATTCTCGACGAACCTACTTGATCGTTATAGTTTTCCTCCTGATTTTATTTTTGGTGTTGCTTCTTCAGCTTATCAGGTTAGTTGCTTTTTTTTTTTTGAAGAGAATATTAAAAAAAAAAAACTGTTTTACATCCAATGCAATTTTTAATTGAACTTTTAAAGTTAGTTGCTTTTTATGTAATCGAGTTGCCAAAAACATTTATGATATATATATATATGCATGTTGTATCTATCTATCGCCTCACAGTTTTAAAAATTGGTTAAACTAAACGCTAATGATATATAGATATATACACGTTCATGTGATTCAGTATGAAGGTGCAATCGAAAAAGGAGGGAGGACGCAGAGCATTTGGGACAACTTCACACATGCATATCCAGGTCTGCCTTATAGAGTTTGTTTTTTCACTAAAATTGTAAACTAATTAATATTTAAATGGTAATTTAACAACTAATTACAAATATATCTTGGAATCAGTTTTTTGCTCTACAAATCTATACTATAAAAGATGGTCAACTCTCTTCATATGAGTGTCATCTCATCATTTTAGTTTATTGTAGAAATAACATGTGTCATTTTTAAAAATTTAATGATACAAATTATGTAAAATACAGATAATGTATTAAATATGAAGAATTATATAATATATTTTAATAACAATATATACATAATATCCAAAAATAATTATTGAATATCTATTTTGTAGTAGTTTTTAAAAATCATTAACAAAATTTATGTTTTATATTTAAGAGTATTTTCTTATTTTTATTTAATATTATAAGATATTATTATAAAAATAATTATACAAATATAAAAATAACAATTATTTGATATCTTGAACCTTAAAAAGTTAGAAGAAAAATTTATATAATATTATAATAAACTTTAAAATAATTTTTTTATAAACTAATAATTATTTGATAATTTATTTTATTCAAACTTGATTTATTGATAATTTTAAAATATTTAACGCAGCTGTATAAATTAGAATTATAATTCAATTATTTAAGCTCATAAAAATATAAAACCATGGTATTGCTATTTTGTAAATGTACGCGGTGAACAAGTATGACCTGTTAAAAAGAGTTGTTTCTATCTATGTTGTGTTTGAAGAGTTTCTCTAATTAATTTTTGTTATATAGTACATCTTTGATTTGCACTATATCCATTTAATATATTCTATATATACAAGGTAAAATATATTTCACATTTTCTTATCAATAAACCATTGATCACATATATAGTTAAAATCCATATAATATGTAAATATGTATTGTATGTATATTCAAATACACAATATCCTTTAAAAAATTTTAAATATACGATAAAATAAATTGTAACTACACTTTTTAATAAATTATTTTGTAAAAAAATATTCGCGCATCGCGCGGGTACTCATCTAATGGTATGTAATATGGTAAAGTTTTGCAGAAAGGACAAATATGGACAATGGAGACATAGCCGTTGATTTCTATCATCGTTATAAGGTACAATTACTATGACTTTTATGTGCTGCTTGAGTAACTATAATTTTTGAAGTTTTTGGCCACAAAAGTACTTACTATTTTTTATAAGTTTTAGGATATATATTCTTGAAAAAATGGGTGGGTTATAAAACATGACCCAACCCTTTCTTTAAAAGCAATTTGTGTTTTATTATACATATTTAACCATATATATGTTGACGTACTGAACAAGCAGGATGACATTAAATTGATCAAGGAACTGAATATGGATACTTTCAGATTCTCCATCTCCTGGTCAAGAATATTACCAAGTGAGTAGTAATTAGAATTTCAAAATCAAATTATGTATATTAACAATGACTTGTAAGCATCTACATACTCATCTCTTGATCTTTCAATATTTGAACATTCAGGTGGAAAGCTAAGTGATGGGGTAAACAGTGAAGGAATTAACTTCTACAAAAATCTCATTGATGAACTTATCGAGAATGGTCAGAATCAAATATATGCTTAAACGAGTGTATGTAATACCTCTTAAACTTTGTAGTATTTCTGATGACATCATATTAATTTAAATATTTACACAGGCATAAAACCTTTTGTAACTATCTACCATTGGGATATCCCTCAAGTATTAGACGATGAGTATGGTGGCTTCTTAAGCCCTCGGATCATGTAAGTAACATAAAATTATTAGACTGTTTCATTAATGTACAACATATAAATTAAAGACGTGTAGATAATAGTTTTCTATACTTTTTGCTGTCGTTCGCAAAAAACAGTGATGATTTCCGGAACTACGCTAGATTGTGCTTCGAAGAATTTGGTGACAAGGTCAATATGTGGACAACGTTCAACGAACCATATGTTTATAGCGTTGCGGGTTACGACAGTGGAAATAAAGCAATGGGACGATGCTCGAAATGGGTAAACAGCCTATGTGTGGCTGGTGATTCGAGCACAGAACCTTACTTAGTCTCTCATCATCTTCTTCTAGCTCATGCTGCAGCTGTTGAAGAGTTTAGAAATTGTGACAAGGTATATTATCTCACTATCACTATTAAAAATTTATTCGTTTAGCCACGTATTAGCCATGACCTTTCGTGTCTACATGCATAATTTTTACTAGTATGGAGTATTAAAGAGTTGGACAAATATATATAACCTTAAAACTCATTTGTGATAATAATCAGTTTGTTTCCGCAAAACAGATCTCACAAGATGGTAAGATAGGCATAGTGTTATCACCTTTGTGGGTCGAGCCTTATGATGTCGCCTCCCATGCTGATAAAGAAGCAGTTGAACGAGCTCTTGCCTCCTATGTTGGTTGGTAAGTTGTATTATTCACAAATTTAATTAAAATTTCAAATAAGTTTGTCTAAGAAATCGATTATCTTATTATTGATGTAGGCATCTCGATCCTCTAGTCTTTGGAGACTATCCGGAAACGATGAAGAAAAACGCTGGAAATAGGTTGCCTTCTTTTACCAAAGAACAATCAGAGTTAATCAAAAACTCATTTGATTTTATTGGAATAAACTACTACACTGCTAGATTCGTTGCTCACAAGCTTCATCATGACCCTACACGACTTCGTTTCACGACGGATCAACATCTCGAATACAAAGGTTAGAACCTCATGAATAATAACATATATTTGGGCTCCAGTTTTCTACTTATTGTTTTATATATATATATATATATATATATATAAATCCTTTTTTCATTCTTAATTTCTTATAGTGACAAATTGTAGCGGCGATTACATCTCTTCGGAATCGGTATGACCAACAATATCTCTCATTATGTGACTTACAAATTTAGAAAAAAATGTTTAACTTGGTTTTTAATTTTCTGTTTTCCTTCAATTTCAGGATGCAACAAAAACTCTCTACTCATATCCTGAAGGCATACGAAAGATTCTGAATTATATTAAAAATAAATATAACAACCCAACGATTTACATAGCAGAAAATGGTAATGAGCGTTTTAATTTAATCACGATAATCTTACTAATTATAATATATCGTTATTTAAGTAGTTTAACTAAATAGCCAAAAATATATATTGCAGGAATTGATGAGTACGACGTTGAGTCAATTCCACGTGAGCAAATTTTAAAGGACACAAAGAGAATAGACTACCATGATAAACATCTCCAAGAACTCCACAAAGCAATCACGTAAGTAAATTTCGCTTTATATATTTGATGACTAGTAAGTAGTTATCCATATGTGCTATAACATTAATTTGTTATGTATACATAAATGTAATGCAGTGTGGATGGGTGTGACGTGAGGGGATATTTCGCATGGTCGTTGTTGGATAATTTTGAATGGGAACATGGCTACAAGATGAGGTTTGGTCTGTACTACGTTGATTATGCCGATGATCTAAGACGATATGCTAAAGATTCAGCCAAATGGTTCAAAAAGTTCCTCGAGAGATCGGAGCAACTGACACCATTGGATCCGTTTAAGAGTATCAAGAAATGGTGGTCTGCGCTACAGATGATCTGAGTTCTTTGGAAAATCAGAATATGCATCTCAATCTTTTGTTCTATTGTAGATAGCAAAATATGACATATACATATATACGATAATGTTTTCCTTACAAGATTAAATTGTAATTTTGGTAGATCTTCACAAGTACAACATTAGTGGATGCCATATATAAACAAATTCTTTTGGGTGTGGAGATTTTAGTTATTTACTTTACTCTTCACTGTCCAGATTCTCCAAATATCATAAATATTATTATTAAGATTCCCCAAATATCATAAATATTATTATTAATTTAATACGGGTAAAAATAGACAAAATGAAAAGTAAAAAATAAATGAAAAAATATTATATAGTAGAGGGTTGATTAAAGTATTTTTTCTAAACTTATATATTAAAATAAAATATAACATGTTTTCTTGGTTAATTCATAAAAAGTTACATGTTAATCTTATAAGATCAATATTGTATAAACTACGATGTAAATCGATTTAATCACGAAAGTAATATAGATAGTTAAAATCAAACAAACGTGTTAAGAAAATTTTGAAACAATAAATCGGAAATAACATAAACTACAAACGAAGTCAAGATCAAAAACTTTTTCTTTAACTCAAAGATTCGCCTGTAGTGTAACATGTATTAAAGATTCATGAGTCCTAGGATATGACCGTTTAACTCCGAATCGCAACACTCAATTTCGGGTCTGACAAACTAACTCTACAAAGACTCTCGAAATTACTAACCTGATGCAATCGGAGATTGAAGGAACAGTGTGCTTATTTTTCGCTCTATGTATTTGATCTCATTCAGAATTTTTAGATGTATCAAAAGAAGAGGCTTATGTACATGTCACATATACAGAAGAGATTCTGTTATTCTATTGATTATGGTCTCATATAATCAAAAGCCGTAATGTTTAACCATCATTACTTACAAAAAGCACTGTTATCATCTTAGGAAATGAGCAACTTACAGTGCTTGTAATATACTCTACTTTGATTTAGTTGTCCCTTTGAACCTAGATCTTGGGATCTCCAGTCACATAGGTTGGGTATCTATCATTGCTTCATCTGTATCCATACGCTTTAAACCCATTCCTTTTGATGATTTAAGAACTTGATCTCTCGGCAAGCTGTTGGTAAACCGATCCGCTAAGTTATTAGCCGACTTGATATAATCTATCGTTATTACACCACTCGAGATCAGTTGTCTAATGGTCTTGTGTCGTCGTATATGGCGAGACTTGCCATTGTATATGGTATTCAGTTCATGTGTGATATAGCCGATTGGCTGTCGTAAGTACCCGCAAAGCTGGCACTGGTTTTTCCCACATCGGGATATCTTCGAAGAAGTTCCGGAGCCACTCGGCTTCTTCTGCTTTTTTGTCTAAAGCTATGAACTCTGATTCCATGGTTGATCTCACCAGGAGTGTTTGTTTGGAAGAATAACAGGATACCACAGCTCCACCAAGAGTAAACACATAACCACTTGTAGAGTTAGAATTTCTAGAATCTGAAATCCAGTTTGCATTACTGTACCCTTCTAACACTGATGGTTCTCTATCATAATGCAAAACTCTACCATAATGCAGTCCATACTTTATAGTATTTCTTAGATAACTCAAAACTCTTGTTATGGCTTTCCAATAAGTGTGACTTGGATTACTCGTATATCGACTTAGTAAGTTTACTAAATGCGCTAAGCTGGATCTAGTACAATTTGTCAAGTACATTACACTTCAGATCACTCTTGCATACTTCACTTGTGAAACAGATTCACTCGTATTCTTTGTCAAGTGTAGTTGAGGGTCAAGAAGAATTTTCGCATTCCCGCTTGAGTGGTTCTGAAACCGCTCTAGGATCTTCTTCGCGTAATGACTTTGAGATAATATTTTCCTCCTGCGTGTTTTGTAATCTTAATACTAAGAATAACATCCGCTAATCTCAAGTCTTTCATCAAAAAGTTCACCTTGAGCATGTTCTTAGTTTGCTGAATTATATCTTTGTTGCTACCTATGATAATCATGTTGTCAACATATCGACACAACATAACATATCCATATGAGGCGTCTTTGACGTATAGATATTTATCACATTCATTGATTCGGAAGTTGTTTGACATCATTACACCGTCGAATTTCTCATGCCATTGCTTTGGAGCTTGCTTAAGTCCATATAATGATTTCTTAAGTCTGTATATTTTCTGCTTTTGTCCAAGAACTATATAACCCTTGGATTGATTCATATATATATATTTCTTCCTCCAAATCTCTATTTAACAAAGCTGTTTTGACATCCATTTGATGAATTTTAAGATCTCTTAAAGCCGCAATGCCAACCAGAGTACGAATCGATACCTCTTGATCGACCAATATCATCCCGAGACTACATCCCCCCTTACCTTTAAAGCCATTCCAAACACGGAGAATTTGAATCTTTATCTCATAATTATCTGAAGGATTAAGTCCTCAAATAAGGACAGAAGGTGCAGGTTTCTTACTAAAAATCGACATTATAAAACAGTGTAAACCCTTGCTCTCTTAAAATATAATTAAGACGGTGGTGTGAGTATACATAATTATATGCTTACATAGCAATATATATATAGTAGAAGGTATGCAAGAGATACATATATTTCATATTACGGATTATATTTTTATATTTTTAATACACATCGATATATATTAACATTTTAAGAACATATACATATATACACAGAATCAGTAAATTAATTCCTAAGATAGTAATAAAATCTGAATAGAGATTTAATAAACCACGATGTTGAAAACATAAAAGTTGAATATCAATTTACATTACATATTATACATAAAATATATACATGCTGATATTTTAAGAACTAAATTATATGGATATACAACCAAGAAGATATTTAGATACATGTTCTATTTCCTATATATTTAACAGAAAACATCCAAGATATAACAATTCTATTCCATATTACTTAATATATTTTAACATTTGTAAAACATATCAAGATATATTTTATATATACTCTGGCCAGTAGTAGTTTAGTTCTTGCAATGTCGCTGCTGAAAAGCAGAGACTACTCAGACTAACACAGGAAGAGGAAGTCTGATGCACACCTATTTAGTTTTAGGTGATTTAAAAAGAGGAATTTGCTACAATAACCTTATATAGATTTGAAATAGCCCAAATAACCTATGTATACTTTGTGAAATTTTTGTAATTAATTTTCTATTAACACCCTTAAATATATTATATATTTTCTTTATTTTGCCACATTAAATACCATAACTAATAAATTTAAAAACGAACCAAGAATCTAATTATTAAATGTAAATATTATGAAATTAACTAAGGAAACTAAAATCATCAAATCATAAATACAATTTTTTATTTCAAAATAACATTTGAAAATAATAGTTTTGAAAACCATCGACATTCATCTCTTCTCCATCAATCCATCTTCATAATCTCACAATTTCACATTCATCAAAGTTTAATAGGTATTTCTTTTTGTTTCTATTTTGGTTTTGATTATGTTTTATATAAAATTATGTACAATTGGTAAGCTAAAATCACAATAACAAATTTTGGTTTTGTAGATTTATTTGTTTAAAATTTTCATCATGATGAAAGGAGAAGAAAATTATAGTGAACATTATTATGATCTAGCCATAAAGATGCAGGTAATTTCTTAAACCATCACAATTTTGACAAATTTATAATACATAAACGAAATTCTGCAATTTTATAGATTATCTGGTAGACATGCTGATCATTAATTTGGTAAATTGCAAAATTTGTTATAGACTCAGCATAGTTTATTATTGTTATGATTTAAGTTTTTAAAGTTTTGGAGTCTACAGAAGAATTTCAAACATTTTAATAGACTCTAATTTTAGTTTGCTAGTCTGCAATTTTTTTGGTAGATTTTTCGAAGTTCTGGCAGATAGAACGGAAGTCTTCCAAATATTTTGCCAGACTTCAATTTCAGTATGTTAGTCTACCATTTTTGGTAGACTCTTCAAGTTTTTGGCAGACGAAGCAGAAGTCTTCTAAATATTTTGGCAGATTTTAATTTCAGAATGTTAGTCTACCATTTATTGGTAGACTCTTCAAGTTTTTGGCAGATGGAACAGTAGTTTTCTAAACATTTCGGCAGACTTTAATTTCAGAATGTTAGTCTACTATTTTTTTGTAGACTCTTCAAGTTTTTGCTAGACTTTAATTTCAGAATGTTAGTCTACCATTTTTTGGTAGACTCTTCAAGTTTTTGGCAGACGCAACAGAAGTCTTCCAAATATTTTGGAAGATTTTAATTTCAGTCTACTAGTCTACCATTTTTTTGGCAGACTCTTTAAGTTTTGGCAGACGCAGGGAAAGTCTTCCAAACATATCGGCAGCCTCTAATTAATCTGCTAGTCTACCATTTTTTGGCAGACTCTTCGAACTTTTAGCAGACGGAATGGAAGTCTTCCAAACATTTCAGAAGACTGTAATTTCAGTATGTTAGTCTACCATTTTTTTGGTAGATTCTTCAAGTTTTTGGCAGACACAACAGAAGTCTTCCAAATATTTTGGCAGACTTTAATTTCAGTATATTAGTCTACCATTTTATCAGCAGATTTTTCGAATTTTTTGCAGACGCAATAGAATTCTTCCAAATAAATTGACAGACTCTAATTTTAGTCTACTAGTCTACCATTTTTTTTGGCAGACTCTTCGAATTTTTAGCAGACGCAACATAAGTCTTCCAAATATTTAGGCAGACTCTAATTTCAGCCTTCTAGCTAAATTTTATATTTATGTGTGCTGAAATCTAAGTTTTAATTTTTGTTTTTCATGGTATGCTTATCTATTATTTTTTATTATTTGTTTTGCAGAAGACAGTTGAAGAAGAAGAAAAAAGTGGTACCATTGATGAATATGGTGAAGATGATGAAAAAAGTGGTACAATAGATGCATGTAGTGAAGATGAGGAAAAAAGTGGTACCATTGATGGATGCGACGAAGATGAGGCAGAAAGTAGTATTGCATTTGGGTTTCATAAAGATGATATACATAGTCTTACTTCTGTTGAGAGTGGAGAAGATGAAATAGAAAGTGGTGATGTGGATGGAAGTTATGGATCTTCTTCAGATATATCTATCCATGGAGAGTTTGAAGAGCCACTAACTGATGGCCTAGAAATTTCAAAAACTACTACACAGACCTTGGAGAGTATTAGAGTTTGGCAATTATATAGCAGCAAGGCAAAGTTACAGCGTAAGTTGCGGCTAGTCACAATTTACAGAATTTTGATTTTGTAACTTAC